CACTTCTGACATTCTCCCCCTGGATTTGGCCATGCTTGGTCTTGTTACTGGTCTCTGTCAAAGTTACATTGTACCACACAGCTCAGTAGTTGGGAAGCCAGAATTGGGAAGCCAGAATCCTATCTTGATCTCCTCCAGCTTGGGCAGGGAGGAGGAAGGGAGAGATACGCCAGGAAAAGGAGAGATACACAAGAGTGCAGTAGTTCCCACCCCAGCTCATCCTCCAGTTTTCAAGGTCAATGTCAATCTCTTCACAACCAATGTCTGCATTTCACCCACTGGAGCTGGGTCTGCAGACTCTAAAGGTGGCAATGGCAGGGAGTGAGTGAGGTTTGGAGTGTGGGGCTGGGCAGAGCGCTCTTCTTTTGAGACCTCATCCTGTGTGTTGGCAACAAACAAGGAAGTGTAGTTTCTTTCTTTTTTTTTTTTTAAGATTTATTTATTTATGTATACAAAAACTGCAGCACAGGCCAGAGATGTGGGGGGTGAGAGGATTCACCAGAGACAGAGTAGGGAACAGAACAGGAAGACTGACCAAAATGCACTGCTGAGGGGAGCAGCGGGCAAGTCAGTAGAGGTCTGCTGCACCATGTGTAGCTCCCTGGCTGGGGATCAAACTTGTGCTGCAAAGGCTGCGGTGAGCTTCGTAGGTTGCATCTTAACCCCGGGTGCCACCAGGGAGGCCCAAGGAAGTGTAGTTTCTTAGCAGGATCAGTGTATTTTGGGGGAGTGTACTGTCCAGGATAAGGGAGCCTTTTCACTTTCCTCCTTGGGAACACAATTCAACAGAACGTAAGCGGCACAGAATAGGAAGTTTGGCTTCTTCCATATTGTATCCCCAGCACTTGGAGTAATACCTGGTGTATAGTAGGTGCCCAATGTTTTTTAGGGTGAGTGGATTCTGCTTGTCAGGATGAGGAACAGGAAAACTGTAAGCAAAGGGGTGGATCAGCACAAAGACCAGTGAGTAATATCATATGAAAAGGACAGAAATAGGAAAAGGAGGAAATGGGCAGACTGATAAGAATGGAAGAGAATTTTCAAGGTCCTTCAAATCACTGATTTATTGAAGCTCTATTAATAAATGTACAATTTAGGAATTAATATGGAAATATTCTAAGAAAGAAACTGTGACAAAATACAACAGGAAGTAGCACTTACTGCAAAAGGTAACTTAACTGGGGATAAGTTAAACCCATCTGCCTGAAGGCTTTGAACAAGTGGTCTTGAAGACACCTGTGAGGATTTACATTTGTTACCACTACTAATCACCATTTATTCTGGGGTTGGAAAAGCATATAGACCTTAAAATCCTAACCAGGTCATTTCTTAGGTTATGACACTATTTATACAGTGAACATTCCTAGGGCATGAAAATCTGGTTACAGGAACCAGCTTAGAAATTACATCAGGTGTTGTGAATACTAATACATCAATTAAGTATTTTTAGAAACAGCTTCATTCTTATAAGACTACAGACCACACTGACAACATTGAATGGCCGAAGATAAAAGAGCTCTAATTATAAATAAACCAAAAGTTAAACCTTTCCCAAATTTCTAATATCACAACACATACCTTATAGGAGGAGACATTGCACTTCTGATCCGGATCCCTTCAGAACACAGTGCCCGACCGAGGGGTTACTATAAATGGATGGTCTACGTGTTTTTAAAAAACATTAAATTTTTTTTAATCATAAGTACTTGTGTATCTGTAATAAACGTTGGTTTCCATTTCAAGTCTGCTTCTACTGAGTAAAGTCAGATTTCCCTTTCACATTTTTTTAAAAGAATACCTGTTCATTAGGAGAAAACCATTTTCATCTGCAGTGGCAGTGAAAATAAGAGTATGGAATAGGAGATCCTGAGAACTCCTTTATAGATAGGACTATACCATGCTTTTTTTTTCTTTCTTTTTAAAAAAGCAATTAGAACCTGGGAATTTGTTTTCTGCCCTAACAGCATATCAGAGAGAAAAATGTTTCTACTTTTTTCAAGGTAAAATCAGGAACTCTTAACGAGTGAAAATTGAGACTAGCTGTATTAGTCAGGGTTCTCCAAAGAAACGGATAGGTTGTGCATATAGAGATTTAAGAAATCAGCTGAGCATGTGATTGTGGTGGTAGGAAAGTCCAAAATGTGTAGGGCCAGCAGGCAGGAGTCCCAAGGAAGAACTGCTGTTATGCTTGAGTCTGAAGGCAGCTAGAGGCAGAATTCCCTCTTGCTCAAGACAACTCTTTTCTTTTAGGTCTTCAACTGATTGGATAAGACCCACCCACAATGTGTAATTTTTTTTTTTAAAGATTTATTTATGCACCCAAGAGCTGGGGTACAGGCCAGAAGCGTGAGGGGTGAGAGGATTCACCAGAGACAGAGTGGGGAACAGAACAGGCAGATGGACCAAAGTACACTGCTGAGGGGAGCAGCGGGCGAGTCAGGAGAGGTCTGCTGCACCATGTGGGCTGCTCCCTGGCTGGCCAGGAATCGAACATGTGCTGCAGAGGCTGCGGATAGCCCCATAGGCTGCATCTCAACCCCCTGCGCCACCAGGGAGGCCCACATTGTGTAATGTTTTATTTAAAATATACTGATTGAAAATCACATCTAAAAACTAACTCTAGAGCAAGAGCTAAACTTTTGACTAGATGTCTATTTTGGGTATACTGTGGCCTACTTAAGTTGATACATAAAACTAGCCAAAAGTGGCCATCTTCAGAGCAGAAAGATTTATTTATTTATTTATTTATTTATTTATTTATTTATTTTTGTGGGACCCTCGCCGGTGGCCGGGGATAGAACTGGCGCTGCAGAGGCTGCAGGCAGCCTCGCAACCCAGCGCTTAACCGCTGCACCACCAGGGGAGGCCCAGAGAGAGTTATTATTGACCTCTGTGTGGTACAGGATGCCAGTGAAGTCAGGACATCCTGGGTTTTGTTGTTTTGTTTTAGGCTGAAATTGTTAAAAAAAAACAAACTACATTTTGATATAGGAAAAAGGGTGACTGGGTAGGGTTCAAGACAAGCTTGCCTTGTGACAATGAATCTGCCTTCTTCACTCAAATGCTTCCATAAAGCTGACTTTGCAAAATGGACAGTGGTGGTGGAATACGGGTTATTTGGTGGTCAGTACACTATGGTGGCAATCTGATGGGGGTACCCAAATATTACCTCAATCAAAAATTAATGAATTATAATAAAACCGACTTTGTTGGAACACCTGTAGGACTTAGCATAAAGCTGTGCCTTATGCATAAGAATATTTGAGTTAATGTTCGATTAAGGAAAAGTGACAGCAAAATTCAAGCTGTTTATAGCCAGACCGAACATTTCTGTCCCCTTAATGGGAAACCAACATAAACATTCATTTAAGACTTTGAGTCTTTTAGTGCCATTGGTTGTATGATGCAATAAGAAAACTACATCTCTGGGCCTCCCCGGTGTGCAGCGGTTGAGCGCTGGGTTGCGAAGCTGCCCGAAGCCTCTGCGGCGCCAGTTCGATCCCCGGCTGCTCCCCGGCCACTGGAGGTGGGTCCCATATGGTGCGCAGACCTCTCCTGCCGCCCGCTGCTCCCCTCAGCAGTGTACTTCGGTCCTTCTGCCTGCTCTGCTCCCCGCTCTGGCTCTGGTGAATTCTCTCACCCTCCCATGCTTCTGACTGTACCCAGTGCATGTATAAACAAAACAAACAAACAAACAAACAAATAAATAAAACATGCCTCTAGAAAAATTAAAAAAAAAAAAAAAGAAAACTGTATCTCTAATTTTCCATTAAAGAGATATACCTCAAGTGAATTAATCCCAAACATACTTTTTTCAGAGTATTCTAACAATAAGCAAAAGGATTTTTGCTCTATAAATGGTCCTTGAAATATTTCATATGCATGAATTTAAATATAAATGTATTTAGTGTTAAGAATTAACAAGTACTTCCAGATTTCTGGAATGAAACATGTGAAAAGAGGCCCTGCCAATATTGGAATCACTTTTTTTTTAAGATTTATTTATTTATGCATACAAGAACTGGGGTACAGGCAGGGGTGCGGGGGGATGGTGGGGTGTGTGTGTGTGGGAGGATTCACCAGAGACAGAGTGGGGAACAGAACAGGCAGACTGACTGAAATACACTGCTGAGGGGAGCAGCAGGCGAGACAGGAGAGGTCTGCTGCACCATGTGGGTCACCTCCCTGGCCCAGGGTTCCAACTAGTGCTGCAGTGGCTGTGGATAGCTTCATAGTGCTGTGCTTAACCCCTTGCACCATCAGGGAGGCCTTCATAAAAGCAGAAGATGGGGTCTCCCTGGTGTAGCAAGGGGTTAAGCATCAGCACTATGAAGCAATCCTTAGTTACTGCAGCTCCAGCTCAGTAGCTATTGCAGCTTGCAGCTTGGTAGCTACCAGCTCATAGCTACTGCAGCACGTTGGATCCTGATCCCCGGCCAGGGAGGGGACCCACAAGATGCAGCAGACCTCTCCTGTCTTGCTACTGCTCCCCTCAGCAGTGCATTTCAGTCAATCTCCTGTTCTGTTCCCCACTATGTCTCTGGTGAATCCTCTCACACCACCCCTGCATTTCTGGCCTGTACCCCAGTTTTTGTATGCATAAATAAATAGACCTTTAAAAAAAGGCAGGAGAGCCTTAAAACAGGAAAGTCAAGGGAGTTTTTCCTATCATACTGAAAGAGATGTGAGACATAAAAAAATATTTCTACAGTTGGTTCCTGGACAGTTTATTAACTGAATTTTTTGAATCTTTCTCTTTTTGAAGCTACATTACTAATTATCAGGTGAGTTTTAGATGTAATTATAGAATGCCTGGATGTTTTGGTTCAGATGAATTGTCAAGAATTTTAGCAATATTTTAGACAAACAGCCCCTTCTAAAAGGATAATCTGTAGTATTGAAAGATAGTGTTACATGAACACCTAACGCCAATTTTATCTCATAAACAAGGGCCATTATCAATTTACACATTCTAAAGGCTTTTTGGAATTCTTTTTTGAATTCTCACCTGGATTAAAGTTTTGATGCATCATGTTTTGACTTTTTTATTGACAATTTCTATCCTTCCTTAAAAGGTACAAAAGTTTTAAAACAAAACAAAGAAACTCTAGAACTGTACATTTCAATAACAAAATATGTCCTAGAGCCAGCTTCTAGAATCTTATATTTAGCAAATATATCAAATTTATCAGTATTTCTAATCCAAAGTGAAGAAAAAATGTTTTACCAAATAGAAATTTATCTGTTAAAATTTCAGAAAGATCTGCATTATCTAAAGCCACTCTATAATTTTATTCATATATTTTGTGGAGTTCACATATTTTTTTCTTACAGCAAACATTAACACTGTAGGCCACAAGAAGCTGCAGTACTATTGTTTAATTAGCAGCAAATGAATATTTTATATCTGGGTAACTGGACAATAAATAGCCTGCTTCTTTGGATGTGGATGTTTAAAATGTAGTATCGCTGCAGCTTCATAATGTGATTGCTACTTTACAGAGCTTATACACACACAAAAAATACGATCTTTGTCTATATTTTATACAAATACAACAGTAGTTTGTGAATACATTTTAAGTACATGATATACATGATAAGCCACTTGATTTCCCGGTATCACAGAAGAGCGATTTTAAAGGCAATAAAAATATACAAAAATTCAGCCTGGAATGCAGATTTTTTCTTTTCTATTTTGACTCCAAACTTTACCATTAGAACATTTTTAGAGTACTAGTCCAAATACTTTTCATCAGCTAAAAATACAATTTCAGCAGTCCAGCTTATGCTCAGGCAGGATGCAATCCATTTCCTAATGGATTCCCAGTTTTTGTTATATTCAAAGGGCTGTTAGTAATGTACAGCATGTTCTTCACTCCACACTATATCATAAAGCCCGTTTTCATTTTGAGCTACAGTCACATTGTGGACAAAAGCTGGGTTTGTTCTGGTAACATTTGCACATCCAAGATTTCCTTTTGCAAGTGCACATGAATACATTGTGGTGGGTGGTGTAAAAGTCTGTTAATGACAAATTAAGTCACAGTATAAAAATATATTGTACACCTACTGTAGTCCTTTTTTCTATGGATAAAAAAATACAACTGAACGAGATAGAGAAGTTTGTAGCACCATGAAGAGTTGTATCCCAAGTTACATTAGCAGCATGATCCAACATGATAGTGAAGGAGTGTTTCTGAGAAGATAAACATTCATTATGGTTCATCTGTACCACTGAAGCTTATACAATGAAGTGTTTTATATATTAGCAACAGTCCTGTCATTTCTAGAGCTAGATAACTTATCAAAAGACACTACCTTCCATCCGCAGAGGGGTGATAATATTGCAGAAGGGCTTCAGGGTGATCTAAGTGTGTCTTTACCAATGTTGGTGGCATCACCTTGTTTATATAATGACAAAGGAGTTCTGTATAGATTAGCACAAAACTACGTAACACAACTTCTATAAAGCTATGAAATCACAACACACTATCTGTGTTGTAGACATGGCTACTGACACAGTGTTAGAAAAAATAAGACAAAGTCAACGTAGGCACTCGTTTGTCAGAGGTTAACAGTCTGCTGTTGCTAATGAAGAATACTCAACATTAAAAAGATCTCCTCCAGCGTCATATGGATCTCAGTAGGCTAGAAGCAACTTGGGTGAACTGGTATATTTTAACTTACATACTGGGAAGACAGTGTGTTTTGAGACACGTAAACCTTGTAAAAAAATAAACCATTGTAAAACTGTATGAAAAGACACACTGATTCTGTGCAATATAGCAAATTGATAAGAAAACACTGTAAAAATGTACCTGTTTAAAATACCATCTACCACTTTGAACACAAAGCATTATATATCAAAGGCCTACATATATATCATCTAATGGCACTTGAAACAAATTATAATAAGTCTTAAAATAAAAGGCATAACCTATAAGAAGTTCTGTAAAAGTTTAGATTCGTTTTGAAAGTGCTATATCTTGTAATATGTGTAGAATAGAGGTTGACCAAGCTCTATTTTTTAAAAAAATATTGACCTATATAGGTGTATTGCTTACTAGATGAATAATCCTGAAAATATGTACTCTTTAACATTCATTATTAGCTTAATAAAGCAATCAGCTCTGGCTCATGTTTCATTCAGTATATGGTTTTTAAAAACCGCCACTGTCCAAATTAACACAATATATCACCATATTCCAAAAATGACTAAAAATAATAAAGCATAAGCAACAAATAGGCAAAAATACATAGCTTAAAACACTAAATGAAATTAAAAAGTTGCACTAAGAGTGGTGCATGATCAGCCAGGACAATAGAAATTTTGAAAAACTGAACTTGGTAATAGGATTTTTAAATGCAAATTTTAACAGTGACCGATAACTACAAAGATATTTGCATGCATGAATGGCTAATATTGCTTACAGTGCCGAGATCCTTCCACACTCATGCTTCTGTGTCTGGTGACCTAATTTGTACATACATGTGGAACTTCAAACTGAATGACGTTCAATATCTTGTCTGAGGTCCAAATTCTAAACTGAAATATTTTTACTTAATGACGATCTTCTGTCTTTTTTTTTTTTTTTTGTTAAATCAAGCAAAGGCACTACCAGAAACTTCAAGGATAATGATTCTGGTCAGCAGAGAATGAAAACAGCATTGGCAATAATTTTTTTTTATCACATCCAGTTGACATAAAACTAATGTCATACTTTATCTAGGGAAAAAAAAAAGAGCCAATTCTGTGTTGCATCTTGTTAGACCATTGTGCAATTGAAATAAATTAGTCTGCCTTTCTTTAATAAAAATTCTCTCAATAAGGGTTTAGTGACCACTATAGTCAATTTAAAAACAAATTAGCTGAATTCCCTCTTATTTGGAAGTGTTATTTCAAGTCTGTGGGGCAGCAACAGGCAAAGAGGTGTATATATGAATATTAAGACACTACAATTTTAACACTGGTGCCCTGAAAGATGTGCCTCCATCTATTTGAGTTCTATGCAGGGCGAGAATTAGGCTAAAAATATATTTATCTATATGGTGCCACTCCCCATTACCAAAATGCCTATTTAGTAAATCCTAGTACTCCCTTGTATTTTTTTTTTTTTATTAGCAAATGAAATACAGCCTACTAAGGCCAATGTCTCAGCTCATTAACTTGACTTCTCCTTCAGCAATTTTTTGATAAAATAGTGCTTCCACACTTCCTATTTGTGATTTCTACTTAAAAATAGGTTTTCTATTTGTGCTCTGTCACCAAATTTCTTTCTTTTTTTTTAAAAAATGGTGATTAAAGCAATATTGAACACTAATCATTCAATTAATGATTTAGGTAAGCAATCTGTTTCATAGAAACTAAAGGAAGCAGTAATAAAGCAGAGCTAAAAGCCTACTTTCAGAGCAAATATTCTCCTAATCAAAAGTTTAGGAGCAGTTTGAAAATTTTTAAATGTATTTCCTTATTAACATATATAATTTTAATGCCTTTGGAACACACTTTTTTAATAAAATGTAATTTTAATAATAAAATTTAAATACATAAGTATAAAAACTACTGCTCCTAGGATTAAAAAAAATAGGAGCATGATAAAATATCAGGAGCCAAAGCTCCCTAAGAGAGCAACTCTGATTCTATGAAGTGTGATATATGTGTGTGTGTATATATATATTTTTATAATATATATAGTGAAACCCCCATTTACATTATTACAATTTACATCTTTCCACAAGTTATACTATTCCCAAATATCTTAAATAATGTATTATATTCAGTAACCTGCACTCATTTTTAGTAATTCTTGGTAAACACAATCTGCAGTGATAATTGGCCCTAGGAAAGCAAAAGCCTCCATCTAGGGCTGATGAGTGCTCAGAAATCTTTTTTTCTTTTTTAAGAGACATATACTTTTCTATAAACCTTCCACCCTCATACCCACCCCAAAGGACAGGGTCCCTAAATAAGGTGTTAACAAGTGCTTAACATATAATGTTTCTTAGGTTGATGTGCCATCTGATATTAAAAATATATATAATAATTTGACCTTTGAGAAGATTATGGTGGTTGTCTAACATGAGGAAAGCCTGTAGTAACTATTGTATTCAGTGAACACAATATTGTTATTGTCATGTTAACTAGATAGTGCTTGTTTTACTTTTCCCCCCCCTCTACAAATCCAAGTTATTTGCAACATTCACTCCCCTCTCCCAGAGACGTGTAAAAGTGGGGTTTTACTGTATATATTTTAACTTGCTTAAAACTCTGTGGTCAGTCCTCAAGTAGTTTCCTAATACATTTACTTTAACTTAGCCACCTGAAAACAGCGAGGAAAGATGAATTAACACTGAATGAGAAAGACACCTTTGGGGTATGAGTATTATTTTGTTTTCGGCTTTTGGCTCTTAAGGGAAATAAACCCTATTAAATTCAGCAAGAAGCGATATAAGGGATATGTTTGTACTTAACTCCTAAAGAGTCCAGTTTCCAACCCTGGCAACAGGGGATATGATCTCTAGACAAGATTCCAAGTTGAACTTTGTGCTTCATGTCTGTCACTCCATTCAGGAGTCTATCATATCCTATAAGCCAGGACAGTCCACTCTGGGGTCAACACAGCTCACGTGTGTTCCACCCTGGCACTAGATTCTGGACTAAGGTTGGACTGATAGTCAAAATAAAATTGCTGGCTGTACTTGACCTACCCTTTGGTCACGGAAGGTGGAAAACACTACAAGAGAACTATGTGCTCACTCTGAACACTCCAATCCCATCCACTGTTAGTATTATTGAATGGAAAGGGAGTAAGCGAAAGAAATTTGAAGCGTGGCAAAACATTCTGTGTACAAATTTAAAGACAGCTATTAAGTAACATGGAATGCTGTGTCACCTTGCTAAAAGTCTCTTTTTGCTATAAATACTGGTGCTTTGTGTTCAGGTTGTTTTCCTGACATACGCATCATAAAGACAGCAAGCATTTAAGTCAGACAATAGCAAGCCTTCAAAATATACTGACCTGAAATTATGGTATACCTAAGAAACATCTAATCTCTCTCCAAGTGGATTCTTCATTCATTTGAAATGTTTGATTATGAATCCATTCAGAGGCTAGTAAAAATTTCAAAACTCTTGAGTTATTCATACACATTTTAGAAAATGTACAATCTATCACGTGAGCCAAATGTCAAAAGGTGCAGCCATTGTTACTGGCCAAAATTGAAGACTTTAAGATCTAAATGTAATATGAACACGGGATTTGTAAGGCTTTACTGATGATAATGGCTTTTCTAGATGAAAAATGATCTTAAAATATGACAATTGGCAGTGAATCAGGACAAAATACCCAGGTAAACATAACTGAACACAAATGGTTCCAAAGCTCATTTAAAAAGCTAGTTTCTATCTTATACTGGCTTAATGAAAATTGGTAATATACAAAAGCAGAAATTTTTATACTGTCTTAAGGTAGGCACTAAAATAAAATCGGTGATCTAAAGCAGGGCTACACATACTTTTTGCAATAAATCAATGTCTTGGGGTCCTACTGAAAAGCTTGATGGAAACGTGGCAGGGTGGTGCTTGTGCTTAGACTACTAGTGAAAGCTGCTGACAGTGAGTGCAGAGAACCCAGACCTATAGTGTTGGCAGGATCTTGAAGATCCTGTGTTTGCTGGGGAAGCTGAGACACAGAAGAATGTGCTTCTTCTTGGGAATAGCTCATTCCCAGGCTCCCCACTGATATGGGATTATAGGGAGGACCATTTAAGGGTATGAAATTAAACAACTGAGAAAAATCCAAAGCTGGTGTGTTTAGGGGGTCACTGATAGAAATGGAGCTTTTTGACAGGGAGAGGTCCCCCGCGCCATCATCTAGGGACCCAATCTGTGGGTCTAACCCTAGTTTAGATGATGATGATGCTTGAGAATCTTGGGAAGAAGAGGGCACACCACCTTGAAGCTCCATCAGATAACTCTCAATTTCCCCCTTTAATGGCTGTTCTTTTTCAGGAATAGAGATTGCATATGAGGTAGAACTGAATGGGTATTTGAAAGCAAGGTGGTGAGAAGGATGGACGGCATCCATATCTATTGGGCACGTCATTCCCAAAGGTAAAGTTGTGATCATTTGGTGGGCAGATCCCGAGCTCTGCATGGACTGAAATGGAGTGTTATAGAGGTTTAACTGCAAAGTGTTTGTGAATGGCTTTGATAACAGTTCACTGGAAGGTAAGGACATCACCGGAAGGAGCTCATCTTTTATAGGCACAGAAACATTGCAGGTAAATGGGTCCAGAAAATCCACTGGTTCTGTTTTGACCTTCAGAAGTTCCTGATTGTGACTCTTCTTCATGTGTCGAGTCAGGTGATCCTTCCGCCCAAATCTCTGTGCACAATACTGACAGAGGAAGTCCTTTCTTCCAGTGTGCACCACCATGTGTCTCCGGACGTCCTTCCGGGTGTAGAACCGGCGATCACAGTGCTCGCACTGGTGCTTTTTCTCTTTCACCCCACCTGATGACTTGCCTGCATGAGATTTAAGGTGCTCCAGAAGCACACCTGTGCTTTCGAAAGTCTGCAAACAGACCTTGCAGGTGAGGTCACCACTTGTTGCAGCATGCAAGGCCAGGTGACGCTTGAATCCAAGCTTCGTGTTGTAGTTCTTGCCACACTCTTCACACTTGAACGTCTCTTTGTTAGGGTCATGTGTATGTAGGTGATTTTTCAGATGATCTTTTCGGTGAAACATTTTCTCACAATAATTACACTTGTGGGTTTTCTCAGGAGAGTGAGTAGCCATGTGCCTTTAAACACAGACATATTCTGTAAGTATCATGACAAAAATGGTATGTATTCACTTTTCAAATGGAAGCTAAACTATTCTGCTAAAACAGAATTTCCTGAATAATGGACACTTTTTAACTTAATATCTATGCTACAAGGATAGTTAACGTGCCTAAACACTGCAGAACTTGAGTCATTAAGTTGCCACTTTAGTTTTTGCTGGTTTTTAGCTATTACAACAAAAGCAAATGAGCAAGACTGAATATACTCACGCAAACGTCCATACTCTTTTCTTGTTGTAATTTCTTTGTACAAATGGAAATTCTACTGTCATTAAGCATTTTATTCAAAAAAATTAAAGACACCAACACATAGAAGTATGTGACTTAGAATACCAAAGCTAGCCATTGTCTAATCTACTTAACATTTCCTCTCTGTAAATTAGCTAAAAAATGTGTATACAATTATATACGTTTACAATGGCTTCAAATGGCCAACATTATAGAAAATATAATCTGAAAGACAAATAGAGTTGAATACCTTTGTAATTTGTACTTAGAAACAAAGGCCTTGGTGCAGTCTTGTTGTATGCACTTGTAGGGCCTCTCTCCTGTGTGAGAGTAGGAGTGAACCTTTAATTTCTCAACACTGTTAAAGGCCTTGTCACACAGTTGGCAAGGAAAGTTTTTTCTTGGTTTGGTTTCACCACGCTTACGTTTCCCTGAAGGGACTTTCTGGGTATCTCTTACTTCTGACAAATCACCAGGAATGACAGTGGCCATCGCAGCCTAAACCAGGCCTTCTTGTTGGACACTTGGGAACTGCCCAACTCCACTAAATGATTTAGCTTTAGGTGGCTTCTCAAGTTTCATGTGGTCGTAAAAGAAAGCAAAAAGGGACTGGAAAAAAAAATAAGAAACAACTAGTTTGTAACTAAACTTAATTAAAAAAAATTTATTTGCTTATGTGATGCTTTCGAATTAAAAAAGAAATCATAAAATGGATTCAGCTGGTCTAATGTAATATCTGTAGGTTTCCGTATACTTGTCAAAATACATATTAACGCATTGCTCAGAATGAACAGTCCACATGTACCCTGACATTCCACTTGTCAAGCATTTGCACTTAGGGAAAGCAGTAGTGATTTTTGGGTACTTTGACGAAGCATTGAAAGACAACATTAAAAGTGGCATTACTGAGCTTCAATTTTCATAAGGAACTACGGAACATAAATGTAATGGAACATAAATATAAAACATAAATATGTGAATGTCTAAAAATCTTTTTAATTTGCACAAATTGGCTGTAGTCACATCCTGTATTAAAAGAAAATATAAACAACTGATAACTCTTTTAGGCACCTTGTGAACCATTCAGTCCATGGAAGAAGCACTTAATGTAGACACCAGAGGCCTGAAAGAGTTGGGCCCACCACCCAAAGTGAAAATTACTCTTTATACCAGTGTCATTACATACAGAAGGGTTTCTGAGTCAAGAGTGGAAAATACTTATCTTCATAACAAATATGTGTTCTTGAAATGGAAAAACTTTTTGTTGTATTTTAGGTGAGGATCATGACCTTTTTAGAGGGAAGATTCAGCTGGAGTAATTTTCCTCACCATTTTCCTCATCATAGAAAATGGTCCTGTTCATGGGGCACACTGAGGTCAGTGGTAAGTTAGGGTCATCAGGCATCCCCAAAGCACAGGGGATCAGTCTTTGACACACCTGTAAGCCCTGTGTGACACACATGTGGGATTACTGGTTTAGAGCACAGCACCTGTGCAAGGATACATCATTAGGAGGTATTTCAGGTTGGTAAAAAGGTTATGTCAGAGTTTCAACTCTTTATCAGTGCTGCGAGAAAAATGAAATGGTACATAACTTACAGCAAAGAAAATGTCTACTTGAAAAAATTTAAAGCTGACTGAAACCTTTGAAAATTCATAGACAAGAGATAGTAAATATCATCGACTATATTTCTCAGAGTAAGAAAATCAATTCCCTAAAGATTCAATTTAAATAAGAGTTAAATGACTCTCCAAGGTTCATGAATGTTAGTTTATTTAGCAATGTACTTTTAAAAGACAGAGAAATAATACTTGCAACTTCTTTTAAAAAGACGTAATTTTAAATACTGAACATGATTAAATGACTGTTATCAACTACTAATCAACTGGATTTTTCACCCTATGATAAATTCAGAAACAAATGAAAACCAATTTCTTTATGTAGTTGTGTTTTGGTACGGACACTTGCCTTGACAAATTTTATGTATGGTACTGACTTTTTTTGCAAATTTCAGTTATACTCTTGCAGAAACTCTAAATTCCTATAATTTAAAAAATTAAGTGTACATGATAATAGTTTCTAATGTATTCGATGTAGAGGCTGTCATTAAATAGCAAAAGAGAAAAATTATCCACTCATTTAAAGTGTAAACCACATAGGTGACTTAGGATTTAGTTCACGTAAGTAGATACAGGAAAAAGCTTTCTTTCATGCTGTTCAAATTGTCTACGTTTCCCCTGCAGTTTAAAAGTGACATTAACACAATTAAAACAACTGACATTAGTAATGCTAATATAGTACGTTTCCTTAAGTTTTAGATTTTCTGAATCTCAGGGAATTGTTCTTTCCCTGCTATATTCTCATTTAAGATACAGCCCCTCTCTCAGAAACATCAAAACAGCTATTCTGCAATAACCAGTAATGACACTGTGAACTGGTATAAAGCAATAAAGGAAAAAAAAAAGTACTTTTAATTACATGATTTCCTAACATGATTCTTTTATCCACCTATTGACATCTGTGGGAAACAAGTTGGTAAATTTTTCAGTTGTAAAATCAGCATAATATTTAAATTCCTGTAGGTAACTAATATTCAAAAATTTTTAAATACTGGTCACATTTGTCACGGGCAGAGAATTCCAATTGGGGAAAGTGTTGACTTCCATGTTTTGAAAAAAATGTACTAAAAATGCAACATGAAACAATATTTAAACATTGGTTATATAAAAATTGGTGATAATATGGAGTAACAGGTAATCTTTTATGTACTGTTATTTTTGATGTACATACTGAGCAATGAAGAATTGCAGATTTCAAATATTACACTTTTCTAAGACCAGCTGAAATTTTTTAATGGCTAATAAATAATACCTTTTTGTCTTAATAATTACAAAACTCAAATTAGTTATAGGTACATTTAAACTATAGGATAAATACAAGGTTGTAAGTTCAACATTGAATAAAATTTCACATTCATAATATACCTATCAATCAAATATAGTACTTTAAAGGTACATGCATAGAATTGCAGTGATTTCTGTTCAATGAATACCTGATGACAGATGGAAAAAGCCTCAGACCTTGATCTTAGCCAGTTCCATTCACTCTTCGTGGAAGAGAGCGGAATCCAGTCCTTCCCATTTTGGCCAATCTATGAAACAAAAAAATAAGGATGGACTACACTCTAACTAGAACCAGCAAGTAAATGATGGAAAATAAAGGATAAAGAATTGCAATTTCATGGCACATGCTTACATTCCATATTCTGCTTATGAGTCATGCATTAATTTTCACCAATTGCAAATTATTAGTTCTAAGCACATTTACATGACCAAATAAATGCAGAAACAAAAGGTAAAATAGTATTACCTATATAAATGGCATTTTGTGATGCTGAATGATTCCCCACTTCTTTCCCAAATTCATTAAAATTTTAAAATCTAACGTGTCTACTAAGAGAAATGGATATTAGGGTTACTATGGGTAAACCAAACTGATCAAAATTTCATTAATAATATTACAGAAGAGAAACACTAAATTCTCTCTTGGAGACAGTGCATCTGGAACCTCACCAAAGAACAGAAAACACCCGATAGAAGCACTCACATGTCCACACTGTACAAACTTGTGCAACTTGGGCTTCTCTGAGTACATTTTTGTTATCTGCAGTACCTGACAATTCATTTCTCAGAATGCTGCAAGGATTGCTGAAATGTAGCAACAACTCTGTGCTCTTTAGATTTCAAAAGCATGCAAGGAAAGTAAATATGGACTACTACAGAGAAGGGGGTCAGGAAGAAAGCATCATTTGGTTTCAAGAGATCATTGTTGAAAATGTGGTATTTCTCAAAAGTGTCCATTTGTAGCATGATCCTCAGTAGACTAAGAACACAAAGAAAAAACCCTAATAATTCTTGGTTGAACAAATAAATGTGAAAAGAGTAATAGTCAAAAGGCAGAAAAAGATAGGATTATCTGTAATAGAATATACATGGCATAGGAAAGTTAGTAAACTTGAATTATAAAGATTAACCAGAAATCATGAATATAAGAACTTGAGAGGGGAAATACAAATCAAATAGTCAACATATAACAAAAGGATTCACCACTGACAAGCTAAATGAAAATAATTTTATTGTTCTAAACACAAATCTAATTAATTTCCCCAATAGAAAATGGTCCTGTACTTTAAGAATTTGGTGATGTGAAAATAAAATATTTAATAGAGAACATTCAAGCATCATTACAAAAATAGTACAAGTATTATCTGAAAGCAGCATTTTCTCACGTTTAAAAGATAAGAAAAATAAAAATTGAGACCAACAAAAGATATTTAAAAAGTTAAAGCAAAAGCTCCATTCTTTTGTAAGCACAGGGCATGCATAAATGGAAGAACTGAACTCTGCACATCAAAATTGCAAAATAATAAAGTTAACTTTGTAAATACTTACTTGCTCAGGGCACATAACTGAGTTTTGGAAGGGTAATTAGGAATATGAAAGCCTGTTTTGTGTATCACGTTATTTTAATAATATACATACAGTATAGGCATAGTGTTTTCATCTCTATAACCTCCCTGGAATTCAAAGGACCTGACAGGTAGTTGCATTTATTATCATTGGCATTTTAATGTAAGAGGCTCAAAGCAGCTCAAGATCTTGATAGCAAGAAGGGGCTTATGTCCTAACACTTCTATTTTACCCTTATCCGATTATATTCTAGAAGGATAGCTTAGCAAACCAACTTGTGAGTGGATAGAGTCTGTCATTTATACTTTAAATACAAGAATGGGGTTAGTGTCTATTTTCTCTTTCAGAGTAGTCAGATCTGACTCCCGAAAGGAAACAAACTTAAAATTTTAAAAGCTTCTTTTAATAAAGACAGTTTACAAAGTAAATTTTAAATAATTTAAACAGCAGTTAAGTAATAGCTATTATATCTGTCTGAGTGGACAGTGATTTGGGTAGGAAAAAATCTAAAACCATCATTGACTAGCAAGCAAATATATATTTTCTTCCTTTCCTCATGAATATAATTTTATTACATCCAGAATACATTCATTAAAATTTTATTTATGCTTACTGTTCAATGGCATTTACGAAAATACGTTAAAGTTTTAAATATAGATCAAAATTATGTATCTTGATTTGAAATACAATAGTTTACAAATCATCCATTATATATTACAGTCTGAAATAAAATAATAAAGCCAGCATTTTCATTCATTTATCACAAAACACAATCCCAAAGTCATAGTTAATTTCCCTAAATTCAGCCTAACTATTATGAGTCTTATTTTGGGTCAAATAATTCCAAAGGACTGCTAGTTATTTCCTAAAACAAGGGAAACCAAGAGCGTGACAGAGTTCACTGTTATTTTGTTTGATATAATAAACACAAGAAAATATAAAGTTTATAAGTATTCCTAATTTTACATAATGTTAAAATATGTGTGATCTCTTTTGAAGTATTAAGAAAAAATTTTTTTAAAGCATTGTGACTACTATTCTGCAAAGTCTGCAACAAAATGTATACCCATTTTCCCGTTGTTACATATGAAGGCTGGTTACTATGCCTTTTAAATGATTACAGTTCTTTTTTCCCTTGGTCCAAAGAGTTGTGAAGCAAGGTGGAAAATGTACACATGTATATTTCAAATCACTAGAAGATAAAAGTATTTCAGAAAACCCTTCCTGCTTTTGCTAGTAACAAAACATTTTTTTTTCTAGGGCAAATTTGCATATATAAAAACAATAATTAAAGAGAAGACTGAGTATGCCTGCACACACACAGATTTATCTTCCTATGTTTTACATTCTAAAACAGTGACTCACCGAGAAAAATAACAAGCAAAAATGAATCATACATCAGAGGGTCTACTAAAATGAATTCCCATGAGGATGAAGGCAGAAAGAACAGGCCTGTATTGAAACTGTTTCTATTATTTTAAATTCCACAGTTCTGATAGTCATTTCTGTAACAGCTGTGAATTTTTGTAACACTTACCTGCATCAATAATGCTTTTATACTTAAAAGTTAAACAAAGACATTGCTAATTAAGGGCAATAGCATCTATAATCAAAGCTTTATTCTTCCATATGCTAATCATAAAACACCATTTGTAAATAAAGGCATAAAATGTCAATATTAGCTTAAAACATGTTTTTTTCATATAGAGTAAATAAGGTAGCTTGCAAAAGAAAACTTACCAGCAGTTAATACTTTTGTTTACATGTATAAAACACAACAGAGTTTTGAATATTGTGAAAGATTCTATCAACAGGATAACACAACTGAAGACACAGTTAATTTTGAAGGGCAACTGTATGCTTAGAACATTTTTGATCTTGTATGATAAGGTGGAAATTTTTATAGCATTCAATTCCCACAGATCTGTAAAACCACATATTAGAGATAAAATGAGGAAAATCCTTACAACTATAAAAATCTAAGAAATTTAAAAGTAAACTGTCAGTAACACTGGGGCAGGAGTTGTGTCAGTTAGTCACTGCTGTTTCCATCAAAGAAAGAAAAAATATTGCTGAAATTTCAGAATGAAAAAAATTAAAGCAAGGTAAGTGCCTTCCAGCAACAAAATGAACGAGAGGCTTGCTCAAGCACCACATAAACAAGCGTAGAATAAATATACCCATACTCAAGTCAAAAGGAATACAGCATGAGTATAATTTGGTAACAACAAACTAAGAGAACAGAAAGTATTTTTGAAACTTAGTAGCTATTTATAGTCTTAGACTAAAACAACAGCAACTGTAATACTTAAAGTTTCTAAAACACTTTTGTTTCAGAAAATAAGTCTTATCTGATTGATCTTATTGCTAAGGAATCAATTAGTATAAAGTGAATAATATCAATTTGGTCCCTATTCCTAACAAAAATTGCTAAAGTGGAAACACTCCTGATGCCAGTGCCCATTCCTGGCCTGGAGCTGAAAGGATTATTAGGTAATCACATGAGGCTGCCTATATTCAATGAGAAGAGAAAGGAACAGGAGTGCCCACTGAGAAGCAGGAGACAGGGAAAGGAGCTGAGACTGGGTCAGATCCGCTTAAGCTGTAGTAGGTACCCAAAAACTCACTGTATACTTGAAACACTGAAAACTGGTACAGTATTTATTTTCCTATAGTAGATGTCATAGCTAACTAAAATTACTTAAAATAGGATGTCCTTTTATAACTACTGTATTTAACATTATTATGAGCAATTCATTAACATAGAGTTCTACGACAATCATTTTGAAATTTACCATAGAAGTCAGTCTTATTGATATTCAGAAAGTTTTATATCTAATATACAAATAGCAAAAGCTAATAGAAGTAAAGGGAAATAGATTTATTTAAGGACAGGTAGAAAAGTCAACAAATTCCAAAATGGAACCAAAAAATTCCAATGTCACTTCTATGTATACAATTAGGTTCCTTTTTGGGTCACTTTGCATGTGGGTATGGCTGTTTATTCATTTCCTAGTGTACCCAGAGAGATATCTGCTGAAGATATAATATTCAAATAAATTTTATCTCACAATTCAGAAATATTTTCCTTGGCTAATTATTTTATGGAGCAAGAATATCATGATAGGTCAAAATTTTTACTTCTCTTTTAATGATACATAACTTGGAAGTAAGCATTTTAACTACTATTTGGAAGATTCCTCCCAGCCCCCATGATTGCATATGCTTATCAAAAAAATAAAATACAAATGGGTGGTTCACCAGGGTATTCTCATTTTCTTAGCAAAGGGCAGTCAGTATTTGCAAACAGGAAATTAGAGGAATTATATAAAAAGGAAGCAATGATACTTGAGAGAGCAAACAGTTAACAATTACATGTGAACAGAAAGTATGATTGCTTAATCAAAACTTTAATTTCAGAAGTTTTCCTGGTTTTGTTTTGATATAAAGCATTTCCAAAATATAAAGCATCTCCAAAAATTCTAGCCCTGGCTAGAATTATAAAGTAGGTACTTCATAGGTCAGTGCAATCTGAAAATTGCCTATCTCCCAATTTGTGAAGAGTCGTTTATGTTTTTATTACCACAAACTCCTTAACTTCCTGGGGTTACAAAAAGCATGCTTGACACTATGGAAATGTTCACATTGAAGGACTCTAAATATTTGGAGGACGTGATTTCATTCATCCTAATGCTATTAAAATTACAACTACAGCATAAGTCAGGGTTCAAGCACTCATTCAATCTGTAATAAATTCAAATGGGAAGGTAGAAAGAGTATACTTTAAAACCAAAGTGATAATGTTTTACTTAATTTTAAAAGTTCATGCAGATAATTTTTTATTTTTTAATTACTTTAAAAGATTTATTTATGCATACAAGAGCTGGGGTGCAGGCCAGAGATGCAGGGGGTGAGAGGATTCACTAGAGACAGAGTGGGGAGCAGAACAGGAAGATGTACTGAAACACACTGCTGAGGGGAGCAGCGGGCAAGACCGGAGAGGTCTGTTGCTCCATGTGGATCACCTCCTGGGCCAGGGATTGAACCAGTGCTGCAGTGTCTATGGATAGCATCATAGTGCTGCTTCTTAACCTCTTGAGCCACCAAGGAGGCCCCAGATAATTAGTTTTAAGCCAGCTCAAAATGAACTTTAATCAGAGGCTTGTGCATGTAGTCAATAAGGTATAAATGTTAAGTGTGTACAAAATCTTGAGTAATACTAAACAATGTAATGAAAACAGAACCTGCATCCAGGTCGGGATCTATATATGCCATCACTGTTATTCTCTAAGTTATGCCCACGTGGCTATCCTGGACCAAACTACTTCTGGAAACAACTTTTATTTATTCCCACACAGTTGAAGTAGGATCAGTTCTAGGCAAACTTGCCCAATCAGGGTAGCCACTCCCTCTGCCTCTAGAGGACCCACACATTCTGCCAGCTATACTAATAAGACACTTGGTAACTGTATTTGAGTGATTCTAACTGCACAAGAATGAACTTCAGAACTTTGCCTCTCTCATTATTGAACCCCTGATATGGGTTCTAAAGATTTTCTGGAAATTACCTGTCTCCTCCTCAGGACTGTAAATTCATCTCCAGGCAAACTATTATTCACCCTTATACTCCCAGCACCTGGTCAGAATCCCAATAGTAGTAGATCTCTGATAAATATTTGTTGAACACAAATAGAATTCCTTGAAACAACTTCAAGAATTACAACAAGCAGGTAAATGTGTTTTGGAGCTCCTAAATTTCCAAATCTGTTTACGGCAGGCTCTAAAGACAAACCCACAGAATGAAACTGCTAGTTTGTTTGGGTGGAGAGGCAGGAACCTAGCACAACATTATGAGCACCTGGGAGTCTGTCCTGTTTCTGTCAATGGGTGTTGACAGCAAGGGAGACTGAGGCACATGCCGCTCAGAGGTGTGCAGGTGTCCCTGACAGGCTCAGAGACACACCTGGGTGACTCTCGGCCAGCCTGAATTTTCAGAACATTTCTGCTTTCAAGTGTTTTATCCCATAGCTCCTTAAGCACATACAACGTGTTTTGATTATAATTTATCATCTGGAAATAGTCAATGTAATTCTATAGAAAGGAAAAATGAAAAAAGGAAAATTCAAAACCTTTAAAGGAGATGCTCTTCATGAGAAATTAAAATGTACAGATAATGATGAAAATATCAGAGAACATTTTTGACTGCTTTCAGATAGAAATCAAAAGGAGAAAACCAGCATAAAATTGGCTAAAAGTGATAAAATTTTTCTTTTTCTAGTTGTTAAAAACCAGCTCCCTTATCAACAAGTTTAAAAACTATAATGGAGAAGGAAAAAAATCCTTAACCTATAACAATAAACAACCATTAATAGCTTTTCATATATTTTAAGAGTGTTTATAATATACAAAAGACTAAAAATTTATGCTGACTTAATTGTAATGCTTAATCTCCATAGAACACTGTGCTTATCAGAGAATTTTAGCCAGGTTAATTTATGCACCTTTTATTTGGTTACAAAGCTCTGTTCATATGTACTGTGAGGCCCGGTCTGGCTCTCAGTCTATGTCCTTCTTCCCTGAGGGCTGGGCCCCTGCCTGGTGGCGGTGCAGTTTAGGAGCTCGAGCCCATCCTCTGGTACTTGGCACAGCTATCTTTGTTTCAACCAGTCTTCCCATCCTAGGGCTGCTGAGGGACCTGGCAGCTAAACCTCGATCTTGTGTGTGAAGTCCTGCTGACAGACTTACCTGGTACCAAATCCATTATGTGCCTGGGTTTCCAAGTATTGCTACACCTTGATTCTGAGTCACTGAGCTGCATCTACAGACTGAGAAATCTAGACTGTCATGCGTGTCCTCTTTCCAACAAGGGTAGCAAACTGTGGTCCTGCTGAGTTCCTGATTCTAGCTCTGCCTTGTTCAGTAAGCAGAGCTAGCTACCTCCCACCTGCCATTGTTAATCAGATCCTTCCCAGCTGATTGAAAGAGATATGGGGGTAACATGGAAGAGACTATCACAAGATTCCAAGAAGAACTTAAGAGTTCATCTGTGGGCTTTTTGGGGAATATGAACAAATAAGCTTTTACAGCAGTTACCCATGTTGTGCAGAGTAAGGAAGACTGTACTTGCCAGTATTCCAATCCTTCCATTACACTGTAACTATTAATGATGTCCTGCTGAACACAATAGATATTGACAGACCTTTAAATAGTAAGTGGCATGCTTATTATGTGGCATGCTTTTCAAAGCTTTTAATATTGTATCTTATCTTAGTGACTGGAATAATCAATCACTTTGAAAGTCATGCCATATAATGATAAAAGCCACCTACCTGAGGCCCTGCTCCAAACTCTAGCAAGGTAACCTTATCAAAAGACCATCATAGAATGAAGCATTCTGCGTGCCAAAATACGGCCAATGCAGCACCAAGGCGCAACCTAAAAAGAAAAGAAGAGTTAGTTTAAAAATTCCAAAACTCAGACCCAATCTGGTTAAAGGCATACGAACTAAATTGTTTTTTTATTCATTATTACCTATTCATAGTCTTTATGCTTTATTGGAAAATCAATTATCAAAATCTTGTTAGAAATAAATGTGAAACAAAATATTTACAGGACATTGTAAAATGAAGAGTAAACAGCCCTAGAGTTGTATATTCCCCCTGAATCACAATTAACTGTATTGTTCATATTTTTATATGGCAAAGTATCTTCCAAGTTTATTGTCATCACCCCAAATTTCTGTTCATTTTCTTCATTTGTATTCTATACAGTTATTTTTTTTGTAACACAGTTTTTAGAAAAATCTTTTAAAGTGTGTATCTTGTTCTGAACAGTAGCTAAGGGGAAATCTTGCCTGATGGATGTTTCCCTTAGGTCATCTGTTTACAGGGAAGGGTGCAAATAACGGGTACCCAAAAGTAGAGGCTGAATAAATGGACAACTACTCAGCTCCTGAGTGATTAGTCTTTATGATGAGACTATTATTCATTTTCATGTGAATTTGCAGGTGGCAAGTCCATCTTCAACATCACACAGGAAAACCCAAAATGTATTCTGAAGTACTCAGTGTTTTGAATTATCCTCAGCTTCCTTCTGTTGGTGAAGGTTAATAAAGACTCTCTATGGGCATTAACTAAGAGAAAGCAGGAATATCAGGAGTTCTGTGCAGAAATCATCTGGTTCATTTCCCTAGGTCAGAGAGTCAACATTCAATCGTATGTAGATACCACTCCACTGAGATCATTAACAATGATGTAATAAATATTACCAACATCTATTACCTATGGCACTGAATTCAATCACTGGGGATGCAAACAGATACAGCTCCTGTACTCTAGGAGTGTACCAACTAGTTGCAGCTAGAGTATAGAAATTTTTATGTCAACTTAAGCAATATTACCAGTAAATAAAATAAAACATAACTTCAGGCAGTATTAGAGTGACAAATCAATGCTAAAAATGGTATTTTATGGCATAAACAAATATCATACAAGGTCAGAAAAGGAGAAAACCATGGATTTTTGGTGATTTTTACTATTGAAGGATGCAAATAAAAACAGAACAAAAGGAGGTGCATGTGGGAGGTATACAGTTAGCCAGAAGTTCCCACAGACTAGAACTATGGATTATTACAGATTCTAAGAAGACCTTCTAACTACAGTAAAGTGCAGTTTACAGACAATGTAAGCTCTCAAATGAGAAAAGTACACTGAAACCCAAAAGGATGAGACATTTCACACTGACGTGCTCCATACATGAGAAATGAGGTTGCTATAGAACACTGACTTGATCAGAAAGTACTGAGAACAAATACTGGGAACAGGGAAGAGGACGGAGAAAAAAGAGGGTAGGGGAGAAGGAGAGAGGGAGTGCTTGTTCCAATGAGGCAGAGAGTAGTCTAAAGCAGAGATCTGAAAAATCAGCAAAATCAAGCATTTCCTGAAACAAAGAACACTTACATGTCTGGTAAAAGTAACAAAGGGGATAAAAGGATTTTGTATAGTTAACGCATACAGAAAGACTCAGGCCAAATTACTTGTTAGCTAACTCATGGCAGAGCCTATAAGCCCACCCACTATAAGAACAAACCAGGTAATTAGTGGGGAGGGGCAGAGATTGAGCTTCAAGGAGAAGGAAGAAAGAGGTGGCAAAACCCACAAAAAGGTAACTGCTAAGAGTCACAGAACCATCCTGCAAGTCTTACATAGCATTCCCAACTAGGCATGAAGACACCATGCTTCATCAAGAAATATTACAGGATAGGGTGGAACTGAGAGAATGGAAGAGGGTAAAACTCCTAAATGTGGGTGTCGAGTGGCAAGGAAATGACTTCCTGTAAGAAGACACTTTCTTTCAAAGAGTGGTGCACTGAAAGAGAAGAAAAAAGGTAGGGTGATAGGCTTAAGGGAACTCAGGATCCCAGGTGGGAGAGACAAGAGAACAGACGCCTAAGTGTTAAGAATAAAGAGATAGAAAAGAAATAGACGATTCTGGGAGGGTAGGAAAAAAAAAATCTAAGCCTGAGAAAAGGAAGAGGTTTTTCTTCTTTGATAAGAAGAGGGGCTTCTGTACTCATCTAAGAGGGACATAATATATCCCGGTAAGTTTTTTTGGTAAAGCAGCAAGAGATGCATGAAGTTTGCTTCACTTGGCCACAGTCAAGTGGAAGGTTCCTGTGCCTGATGAATGAGGGACTAGGGTACCTAGCCTGGGGACAGTAGCAGTGGCTAGAAGGACATTATAGGGCGCAAGAAAGGGGTATCTAAGGGCACCCTTCAGGGTTTTGCAAAACAAACAAAATCTGACATAAAGAATTAAATTTCTTAGTTATTGGTGGTGGGAGTATCAACTGTTGAAACTTTTCTGGAATATACTGTGGAACTATATAATCAAAAAACTTAAAATATTCATGTACATTGACTGGTAACTTGTTTCTATAAATTTAAGCAAACAAAAAAAAGATGGGAAACAAATATTTAAGTATAGGCATGCTCAAAGTATATTTCAACAATAAAAATTGATCATGTCTAATAAAAGTGATAACAGGACTAGAAGAAAATCTCTGCAAAGCATGTATCTGATAAAGAACTTCCAAAACTTGAAAATAATCACCTATTTAAAAACTGGTAATGTCTGAAAAGACATTTCACCAATGTAGATGTACAGGTGGCAAATAAGGACATGAAAAGATACTCAACATCATTGGTCACTAGGGAAATGAAAATTAATAGTACCATGAGTGCTACCTAGCCAACAGAGTGACTAAAATTAAAAAGTCTGATGATCTGACTGTATCAAGTTCTGGTGAGAATGTAAAGCTAACAGAACTCATATAGCACTGGTGAGGAGATAAAAATGGTAGAACTTTAGAAAATAGTTGGGCGCTTCTTTAAAAAGTTAAACATGGACCATTTCACACCTATGTATTTTTTTACCCAAGAAATATGAAAAGGTCCTCACAGAAACTTGCACATGAATATTCACAGCAGCTTTATTTATAACAAAAAACTAGGTATAGTTCAACATCTATCAATGTGTGACTGAATAAACAAGTAGTAAATAGATTTTATATAATGGATTACTAATCAGCAATAAAAAGGTTACATCCAATAACATAGGACTTAAAATATGCTGAATGAAAGAAGTCAGACAAAAAAAGGACATATTCTATGAGTCCATTTATATAAAATTCTAGGAAATGCAAAGCAATCTAGAATGACAGGAAGCAGCTCAGTGATTACGTGGGGACAGGGGGTAGGAGCGGGAGGGAGCATTCCCAAGAGTACGTGAGCAAACTGTGGGGAATGATGGCTATGTTCACTATGTTGGTTGCAGAGATGGTTTCAGGGATGTAAACATATGTCACAACTTGGCAAACTGCACATTTTAATGTGTGCAACTAACTAAAGATCAATTCTACCTGAATAAAGCTAAAGAAAGGCCAAATTTTCATATGGGGAAAACCAATGAGAAAAAATTTTCATATAAATTTACTTAAGTCTGGAAAAAAAAACCCCACTTTCTGTGAATGATAAACTAAGATGATAAACTAAAATCCTCTATAAGGGCAATGACTCAAAATGACTAAAATCTTTCAGACACAGAAAAAAAAAATATAAAGAAAGAGTGGTCTAAATGTAAGAGTCGCATTTAATCCTTATTAGAAAGAACACACATTTAGGCAGATTTTAGAGTCACATTCTCAGCTGTTGCCCTTGGAGGAAGCTGATGGGGTTCACCTGTTGCTTCACAGACTAGCATATCATACTATATGATTTAAAGGATCCAGGAATACCCTCTAACTGAACTCCACAAATAATAAATGCATCTGGGATTAGTTCCATTTATCAAATACCAAAGGAAATGCCCACTGAAGCATCTCAATTCAGCCTCTGTAGAGACCCTTAAAATATGCTAACTAGCGGTAATCTTAAAAAGGAAGAGCCATGCTAATTGGGTGGTTTGCCTCTGATTAATTAAAAACATAAATGAAGCACTGCTCCAGCCAAGATAATAAAAGAACAAGTAAGACTAAGCAAGTAGGGCAGGTATTCCAGGTAGAGGAATGATGAGTTTGGGTAACTTCAGACAATTTGATATTTTTAGGTCCAAGAGTGAGAGAGACAATGGAACCATGAAACTTGACATGGGTGGAGGAGCCTTATTAGAGTCAGGTTACCAAGAGTTGAAAAATTTTTAATTATTCTGATAATTTACAAATTATGCTAAATGCAGGTTCCTATACAATTTTCTCCCCCACTCTCACCCCCAGCCATGTTTTCAGATTATTTAGAAAACACCAATCTTTGTGTGCCTTTTTTGCTTTCTGAAATAGAATTAAGTGGTGACTGTTCTTGCAATTTTTATTTAGGTTAGCTTTTTCTAAAAGAAGTTTGATATTCCTCAATTATAAGCTCACTTAAGCCTTTGCTATGTTTGCTGACAAGTAGTTAACATAAAGGGCGAAGCCACCAGAATTAGACCTCCAGGATCCTCTTTCCCTGAGCCTCAGCCTGGACCTGGTCTGGCCCCTTTCCACTGTAGGATGTATGCCCTGCTCCCCACTCTGATAAGGTGATGTGTTCCAGAAAGGTCTTTCCATTATCTTAACTAGTACAGTTCTGCAATTGTCTTGAAAATGGCCCTTGAAAATGTTGACCTGGAGAGGGCCTCAAAATACAAATCCTAAAGGGATTCACAGAGCCCAGAAGTACAGGAGAAACAGTGGCACAAGACAAAGGACTTGCTTTTGGGAGTCAGAACTGAGTTTGACTCCTGCCAGACCCTTACCATTAGTATAACTTTGGACAAGTTAATCTCTTCAGCAGTTTCCTCTGCAGGACAGGAATACAGACTTACCTCGCAGTACTGTAAGAATTAAACAAAGTGATCGATGTCATCTCTAGTGTATTTCTGAAGGCTTAAGATGCAAAGCT